GTAGTAGGGAATGTATGCACGATTAGGACAATTTCTGGTAATGTGTCCAGGTGTTCGACAGTGAAAGAAACTCTTTTTCTTTACTGTGAAGTTATTTATTCCTTCCCCTGGCGGTGTATCTTTGCCTTGTATCTTGCTTTTCCCACACACACAGTTGCAACTGGCCCTCTGTTTAGCTTGAAATGGTGGCCAGTATTTACCAACAGTAGGTTGATCAGAAGCAATTGAGTTCGAAGTAACAGATTCATAGTTCAAGTGTAACAACGCAAATTTTCAAACAAAATTTTCATTTAAAATAAATGAATTACTTCAACCAAATATAATTATTCCAAATTTCATATCAAAATACAATCATAAAATCCCCAAGATCTCAAAACATCAACAGTGTGTACGCGTCATGCCGGCGCCTTCCCACGGTCCTCGCTAGTACCTGAAACACATACATAACAACTGTAAGCATAAATGCTTAGTGAGTTCCCCAGTATACTACTTACGCATATACACCTTTCCAGGCCCTGACCTTCCGGTCCACAACACAATCGCCTTCCGGCTCTTGAGATAATCGCCTTCCGGCCCATAACATATTGCCTTCCGGCCCATAAACATACACAGCAAATAATACATTTATCCTAACACATATAGCACATATATCATATATCATATCCGACCTTTCAGTCACATAACATATTGCCTTCCGGCCCATATAAACATACATAGCACGCATAGCAAATACCTTACCATTTATAGCACGTATAACACAAATCATATCCGACCTTCCGGTCACACAGTCAAACCCTTCCGGGTACAGTATAGTGAGAAGACTCACCTCGTGGGTAATGAAAGCTAGCGACTCCTGAAATCACTCGCACTCGATCCGCCGAGCTACAGACTCCCTATAATATCATATATCCCTTATTAATACTTTTATCTTTCAAGACACTGACCCTAAGAAATCACATGTAGGTCAACTCTGGTCAACGGTCAACGGTCAACTTGACCGGACTCGGCGAGTGCTAAGGCGACTCGGCGAGTCTAGACGTCCTCACCAAATCCTGATGTTCCCTTTCTACTCGTCGAGTATCCCTCTTGACTCGACGAGTTCCTCGTGGAAGAATCGCGGGGCCACCCCGACTCCACTCGCCGAGTCTGAAGAACAGCTCGACGAGTCCCAGTTAATCTCCAAGCTACTCGCCGAGTCTGTTCATCGGACTCGGCGAGTCCATGCCATGCAGTCGATCAAACTGCTTCCTGAGATCAGTATTGTCCCGACCATTCATAGGTCTGGTCCTCCTAAGCTGGTACAACACGTAAGACCTTCATTTAGGTGCTCATGCTACACCCCAAGACTTGTAATTTACCTTTTGACTTAAGGCATAAGGATTCCAATCCAAAACCTCTCTTAATTCCCGAAATACACAGGCATGGGACATTCTGGACCTCTAAAGGTCCTAATACAGGGTTATAATCGTTTGGGGAACAAGGGTAATAATCAATCTAGTCACAAAAGGGTTCCATAAACCCTAAATCCATGCACACATCAACATAGCAGAATATATCCGAAATATTACCTGAATAATGCACTCTCTGTGTCCCCAATCCTCAGAACTTGATTCCCTTGCTGTTCCTTTAGCCAAACCCTTCTCTTCCTTGCACAATAACTTCTTCAAGATCACCAATGGCCTTCAATCCTTGCTCTAGATGCCCACAACCGATTTAGGGTTCTTCTCAGTCGCTAAAGACGGACAATGACGGCCTATAAGTCCGTTATATACGTTCCAAA